AGTACTGATGTTTTTATTGATTTAAAATATTACTACGAAGATCTCTGTAGAGCACAAACATGTACGAATATGGTAAAGAGAAAAAAAAGACAAGACAGAAAGTAAAAAGAAAATCCTAAAATAAAACTGCTACAGAAAAACAGAAAAAAGGGCAAGAACATTTACAAAACTCTTGAGAGGAAATTCTTTCTTTTTATTTTTTTTTTTTGAAAAAAAAAATAATTGATATCAAATTTTTTTGAAGAAAATATAAGAATTTATGCACAACACAGAAAGAAAATTGAGAGGTGGAAAATTGTTGGAGGGGCAAATCATTGCTTATCAATCACTGAAATTTATCTACAAAAGAACAAATGATTTGGAGAATGAATTTTATTTAACATCTAAAATTTGATTACTACAGGAACATATAAATATTTGTTTATTGAAAACAGGAAAAAACAGTTCTAAAGTTCTCTTTTTAATTTTAATGCTGTATAGTTGTCGAAACGAGAATAAATACATCATCGAATGAAGAAACCAGTCAGGTTGATCAAACCTTTGGTGCAAAAAAGTAGAATCTGTGAACTGCAATTAACCTATATGTAAGTTTTTTTTTTTTTAATTTAGAGACCAACATAAAAATGTTTGTTCATACATTGTTTGATACAACAATCTAAACAATGAATGTCGTTCTTTTTCAGGGTTATTTGAGAGCGTATTCTATAAGCTGAATCAGATGAAAACAACATTCTACAATAGACTTGATGGGTGTCAGAATCCACAACACTTGATAGTGGCAAAGTTGATGCATGGAAAAATTTTGAGATGAGAACTCAGTAAAGATGCTCCCCTGGATAAAAGTGGATTTAATGGAAACTATGTGAAACTTGATAAGATAAATAAGTGTGAAGTCTGACTGTGCTATCGAAATAGAGGTAAGTTTCATTGAGTGAAAAAGGGGTTTTGTAAAACATTCGTGGCTATTTTATTTTTTAAATAATAAACTAAATTGAATTTTATTTTTTGCAGATTATTCCTACTGTCTTCAACAGAAAAAGAAGTCGTCGTTACCATTTTGATTTTAAAAGTGACATACTTTAGAAGAGAAAACTAACTGAAACAATTTACTGCTAAATATTGAAACAAAGAGAAATGATTTCGAATCAAAACTGCATTGTCCAATAGATGGATTTTCAAAAATAAAAAATTATTTGTTAATTTGAACAACAAAAGAAGAATTTGAAATAAGGGAAGAGGTATCGTCGTAAAAATATCGTCAATTTGTGTGGCGGATGTTAATGAAAGCACAAAATAACAATGGGGAAAGAGCAACTATGCTCCAACTATGCTTCCAACAAAAACAATTCTTATATTAAAGGTAGCAACCACCCAAAGGAAAAGATTTTATTCTGGACGTATTTCTGGAATTAGAGAGAATACTAATTATTAAAAAAATATCACATATCTGTAATGCATAAAGAAAGAACATTTCAACCGAAATCCTGGATGTAAGAAATTTATTGGAAATTAGAATAGAAATGTTTATCTCTTTGTACTAGGAAAGAAATAGTAAAAGATAGTGAACAGAAGAAAAGCCCTGACTCTCATTAAAATATTAGTTTTAAGTCAAACAGCATGAAAATTTTTAAAAAAACCTTATGTGGGTAAAAAAAAATGTATCAACTAAACGAGAAGAAACTTTTAAAAACAGCATATGTGAATTTGATAAGATAAAAAATTCATAAAAAATGTATAATTTACTAAAATAAAAACATATAATTTTACAGAATGCTTATATAATGCAACTATTAAGGAAACAATTTGGTGCTTGCAACTAGACACACATATTTTTAAAAGGATGAATAAAAGAAATGAAAAAAATATAAGACGAAATTGATAAGAAGTGGACTACAGAGTTCACGAAAAAAAAATAATTTCTAGAGTGGAAGTTAAAAAAAGAAAATGCTTTATATTCTTAGGGAAAATTAAAAGAATACGATTATGGTGGGGGAAAACATTCCTTGTGTTAATAATTGAAAATCGAAGCATGAACCTGGCAACAAATCTCTTTCTTTATCTAAAATTACAGATGACTTGAAGAATGCTAAAAACATTTCAACTAAGAAAAAAGAGCTCACAAGCAAATGTTTCTGAAAAGAGCTTTCTAATTTAAAAGACTCAAAGCTTTCTTCAAAATGTGGATAGTTTAAAATAAAGCATTTAGTAAGGAAACGATGTCAGCCAAACACTTAATAAATTTCTACACTGAGCAACATCTCTGGAGTTAAATTGACCTTTCAGTAAGTTTTCTTGAAACACAGTTTTATATAAATGGATTGTTCCTATTTAGCCTGTGATCCAACAAGTATCATAGTGCTACAATGAGCGTCGATCTCTGTCAGGATCATCTGAGAATATCCAACGCATTTCAAAAACCCAACGCAAACTCAAAATACCCATTGAGAAATGTTAAGGCGGTGAAGAAATCAAAACTCAGAAAAGATGATCAGTGAAAAAAAACGAAAGATTTAAATAAAAATGTAGACTGTTATAACAGTTATCTATGCTGCATGAGAAGTTTGAGTCTGTTTTTGAAATATAGGTAAGTTTGATTTACTGATGTAGACATTTATTAGTATATCGTTAATATTCTGGTTTGCGTAATAAACTACAATCAGTCTATTTCAATTTCAGATTCTTCAGATAAGCATCTGCACATCGGACTAATCCGAAAGCTGCACCCAACGATTGCCAGAGAGAAACACAAGGAAACGAAGAAAGGAGCGGGATTTTTCGACCAGTTTCAAATTGGGAGTAAGTAGCATGGGATTTTATTAATAACACACTTTTAAAAGCTAAACCTGTATGTAACGGAATTTTTTAATTCTAATTTTACCCACTTTAAAGGGTCAGATTAATTCGAAATTGTGCAAGCTTGTCAAGGACCGATAACAATAAAATAATTTAATAATTTTGTTCCATTGTCTTGATCAAGTTCATCAGGA